AAGAGACAGCCTCTAAAAAAGACTTCTGAAAAAACTTGAGAAGAAAAAAAATGTTCAGTAAGAAAGGAGCACGGTAACGTAGGCCCACACCAAATCAAGCCAATTTTCGATAACATCACGTACTACTGTACTGAAAATTAAAATAAAAAGCCTGGTATCCATGGAAACTTTCGGTACAGTGTTTACAGTGCAAATCGTACTGCGCAGCTATCCCCGACAAACATACAAGAAGCTCACAGTTAGTTACAGACGTAGCCTACATCCCATAAATCGGTAAGATTTTATAGGCCTGCCGTGCGTAAATAAAGAACCGTAGTCACAACATTGCGAAGTGCCTGCTCTTGTTCGTATATCAATCTCGAGTCGAATCAATCCGAGACGGCCCGAGTGGAGTTTCATGCAAATGTTTCGTACGGGAAAAAAATCGCGATCGGGATAGAAGGCTCCCGATTCCAACGACCAATCAGCTAGGTAGTGCTATGTAGCAGTAGGAGGGCCCCGGGGCCTCTCTAGAGCCCTTATTGAGTGGGCGCATCAATAATTTTTATTTTCAATATGTTAACAACCGGCATTTCAAACAATATATTTTAAAATAAAAGATTGAATTACATTGTCGTCATCGTCATCAAAATCATTATAGTAACTATTCATTATCATCATTGACATTCTACCATTTTCACTGACAGCAGAACTTGCCATAGGCCTAGATACAATATGGTATTAAATAATAACAGGATCAACTTTAGCACGCCCTTAGATAATAAGCAAGGCATAAACGGTAGACTGATAACTAGGTTGGCAGGTAAAATTCCGCATAAAGCACGTTCTTGCTAGTCCCCTTGAGAATTAAGGGTTAAAATGACAACAAAAGAGGCGTAGCTTCTGTAAAAACAAGTGACAAATCGCAGTGTCGTCAGAGCACATTTTTGTTAAAATGGCACGCTCATACCTTTCAAGCTTTTTATTTTGCCGGTTGAAATTAAACATCCAGAACCAAATCATGTGATTGGTTATGATACATTGCGTAGCACGCATACCGTACCTGACGCGCGAGTGTCATTATGGAACTTTGCTGTTGGCTGTGTGATTGTAGCCCGTAGCCTCATTTACATTGAGATGCGCTTACTAGCTGTCTGCATGCACAACCGTCTTGCGCACAAAAACAGTCCTATCACGCGCGTGATATGCATGAAGCTAGCGCCTTATCATAATGTACTTGTATAATATGCGCTTGCTGGCTGTCCTCTGTGACGTCAGTGCCACACTTTATTACATTTTCAATGTCATTTGCAAAGTATGCTGCACATGCCCGTGTGACAATTCATCGTGCACGCGATCGAAGACAGATTAACGGTCAGACGAGGGAGGTACCGTCATGTTATTAAACAGCGACCAAACTTTGTCATTATAGATAGTCTTAATATCTTTTGGGGATAAATGGCGCCAATATTAGAATCACGGTCGCGAGAAAGTTTGTAAACAATTACATTGCTAGTTTTCTAGCTGATTATTATTGACGTTTATCTGAATTTCAAGTGTTAGGAACAGAAAACGACGATGTATAATCTGTTCTCCAGAGCCGTTTAATCTGTTAATTATGGACACAGAATCTAAGTGGGCGGTAAATGGTTCCTTGATTAAATTCCCTTCAGACAGCATGCGCATAATACTAATAGCATGGAGGTATACTAATAGTAGGCCTCTCTAGTGGCAAATAGGCCCTATTCAAATCAAATCAAATTAATGGATCTTTCCGCTAAGCCACGCCCTTTGGATATTGTACAGAGTAAACGTAGGCGCTAAGCCTATGTGTGTGTACACACACACACACGTGCGTTTGTAGGACAAGCGCGTAATCTTGTGGTGATTGGTTAGTTTTTAAAGGGAGGGGGGATGTTGTGGGAATGGTTCATTGTGAACAAGCAGTAGATACACGGCATAGAATTAACATTTTGACATTTTAGGGTCTGCAAGGGCTACAAAAACTTGGCCTTACTGATAATCAGTTGTTCGCTCACAAATTGTATCTAATAAAAACATGTCTAGTTATATGCATAGAGTACGGTACTCTATTTGGAATACGGTACTCTATTTGGACACGTTTATTCTCTTGGTGATTCAAATTTTCCAACAATTCCCTTATCGATTCATATCTTTCAACATTAATCGATAATAAAATTATATAATCACTTATCAAAACCATATCAAGATTTAATGATAGTCCATCGCTGAAATGAAGCAAATGAAATGAATTATCCATGAAGTCAGACTAAAAGTGACGAACATTATGATAACGTTAGTAGGTCATAATAATCTGAAATAAACTTATTTTACATCACCGTTGTGATAGTATGATTAATGTTTGGTAATACCTGCGTCTACTAGATAATCATGATCTGTGACCAGGATACTTTATAGTGACGTGACGTTTTCTTATTCATACAGAATGGTTTAAACATTCTCTTTCTCAAGGTTCGGATTATAGGCGGAGACTCGCTCGAGGGAGTTGATGCTTACTAACGTGACGTCTATTTGAAATGGTTATAATGCTTCAGCGATTCTCTCCAGAGGTGACGTCATAGTCGTGGAGCAAGACGGTCCCACGACCACGTACTTTGGCGCGTACATAGGCTATACTCTGCAACACACAATCGATGTCGAATTTGTTGAGCAGGAGTGAATGTTGTCATTAAGATTGAGAAGTTTCAACTTAAAATACCGTATACTGTACACAAACTATATTAAAGAGTGTTTGCAATTTTAGATTTATTTATATTGTTTTTCTCTTTTTGCATTTTCAACAAGAAATAGATAATTAGTCACGATTGCGAGAAATATGTTGGTAATCACAGACTTGATTTCGAGGTGATTTATCTTAATGTTCATCTTATTTAATATGTTGCAATTACCGTTCGTGTTTGTATTCAAAACAAGTGATTATGAGAACTTCAAAACGAAACAAAATCGTAAAGTAAATCAAATTCCCAGTAAGAAAAAAACATATATAAAACGCCTCCTTGATTATACAAAATTATATAGGTTATAGGCCTAAAACAAAAACATTCTTCTTGATAATCATTTTCTCAAAAAAAAAAAAAAATCATTTGCACAAAAAAAAAAAAAAAAAAAAAGGATGTCTACATTATCACCCTCTGATTACTGATTGGATCCGGAATTGGATACTTTACCACCTGAACTACAGTATTAGTGCTAGTGACATGCACCCTTTACATTTTACATCAAGACATGTTTTCCCCCCTCAAATAATATAGTAAAATGCTACTACTAATACAACTAGATCTTGTTATGATGTATTATATATATGTATATATAAGCCATTGTTTCCCACAGCATTGTTGTTTTCCAGTATTTTGCCTTTTAATCTATATATA